TTTATATATATATATGTATGTGTATTCATACCCCACCCCCCAAGCTAGCATTAGCTTTGGAGCTAACACCACATATGTTTGAGTAATTATTAGCTAGTGTTAGCTCTGAAGCTAATTTACTAAACATCAGGTTTGATTGTTTCAACACATATATTATGTACAACATATAAACTAAAATATAAATTTATTGTCACATATTATAGCTTTTTAGCCTTGAGTTTTTGTGTTTTAGTCTCAAGTGTAACCCTTCATCATCATCATCATCATCATCATCATCATTATCATCATCATCATCATCATCCTCAGAATGCACTGTGTCCGTAACAAAAGTGAAAAATAAACAAATGTTTTCAAGTAATGAATGTTTTCATGTTACAAGCAACAACTTTTAGTAGAACAGAGAAATAAAAGCATCTGAAGGCCAACATTTGACAGTATCTCTTTAACATATTTAAGTTTTGTTTCAAAGGTGTTGAAATAAAAACTGACTCGACGTTTTCCTGGTTTTCAGAGGAAGTTCGGTACGTGTCCTCACGGAGGTTACGGCCTGGGTTTGGAGCGTTTCCTCACCTGGCTGCTGAACCGACATCACATCCGAGACGTCTGCTTGTACCCGCGCTTCATCCAGCGCTGCCGGCCCTGAACGCAGCCCGCCACAGCGCCCCCTACAGCCCGCCACAGCAAACAGCACCATTCATCGTTTTTCTTCTTCTACTGTCTGAAACTTTAAACTCGGAGGACGTTTTGGTCGAGCTCCACAGCCGGAGTTCACCTGTTCTGTGAACTGAACGTCCAGCCGGATGGTTTTTACCTCCTCAGATAAATTACTCTGTTTCCAGGGTTTCACTCTCAGCTGTCTGAAATACTTCAAAAATAAACAATAATTTAAATTTATAACAGAATTTAACATTAGCTGTTCCATATCAGAACAAACGGCTCATATAGACTGTAAAGCACGGCAGTGGAGGTGTGATGGTTTTGGCAAAATCTTAAAACCTTTTAAAGGAATTTATGCTTTAGCAGCGTTGATCTGTCCTGTGACCACCACTACCAGTTTAGAAATCCATCTGGGACTTAGCATGCTCGTTTTTCTGCACCTCCATGTGAAATGTTGCTGCTGAAACTGAACTGAAATAAAATGTTTGTTCTGCTTTATTTGGATTGMTTTTTTTTCCTTCTTAAACCTTTTTAATTTTTTACGTCACAAAAAAAAACCTTAATTTAATTTAATTAAGCTGCTGCATCAATTATTAAGTGGAAAAACAACAAATACTCATTAATTTTCACTTTTAGCCTCTTATAGCCTGAAAGGCAGACCGGAGTGGTTAAAACCACTTTCAAAATAAAAATAACTGAATGGAGGAGTGGTCATAGGGCGTGGCTACTTGTGTGGGCGGGGCCATGAGATACGAACTGTTGACGGTGAAGTAAAACCAAACAAAAGAAAGCAGGGTTGCGCCGGAAAAATACCTAAACCTTCACAATAAAAGTTTAAACTATATTGTTTTCAATTAAACACGTAAGCAAAGAATTTTTTTAACACTAACATTATTTTTAATGTATTTGGAGTTTTATGTTTGACTTTGTGCATCATCAAGTACGAACATATGTAGATTTATTTGTTATTTTTCTTTATTATGATAATTAAAACAAAAATGTTTAATTTAATAAATGCTAAATGAGGGGAAATTTAATCTAATACGCTTTGGAAAACTGGTAAAAACAATTTGAATAATCAAAGCCGAGCCGAGTCTCGCGCGTCAGAGTTTTATTTTTGTAAGCCTAAACCGGAAGTGATCCGGTGAACGTCGCGAACTTAACGGAAGTCCGCTCCTCCTCCTCCTCCGGCGGTAGCTGAAGGAATCTGTCTCATTTGACTGAGCCGAGACTCATCCTGTCCAGAGTTTGGTTCGGAACCGGAGCCCGGCACAGAGACCGACACGTCCCGGAGGTTATCCCAGCGGGGAACAGAGCTGTAACAGCGGGGACACAGGCAGGATGGCGGTCCTGGGCAGCGCCGGTCGCTGGATTCAGTGTAAGAGGCTCCGCGGGTTCTGTTAGCCGGACTTTAACTGCAGGAAAGGGTTAAATGTGTCCGAGAATTCCCCGTGACGGCTTAAAGTTCTGCTGTTTTAAGTTTATTATTTGTATTTTATTCACAGCTGAAGGCTGACCTTGAACGTCTCACGTTAAAGCTGGAAGATTAAAGGAAAAAAACTATTTCCTGTTCAATTTGAACTGTAAACACACCGTTTATTTAATTCACATTTTAACTTTTATACATTTACTAAGCTTGTTCACTGTATTTTAAAATATATTTTCGCCCATTTTTATCAGTCTGCTAACTACAAAGCGTCACCGTTTTGTTTACTAGTTCTTGTCGATATGCTTTTATTTTGTCACCGGACGTCAGCGTTTCCGGTGTGAATTCAGTGATTTTGCTGGAGCTTCAGCTTCAGTTTAATGTCGGACGTTACGTAACGATCTTTTCCGCCGGTGCCGCATTTAGTGCCGTTAAGCTGCTCCGTGAGCGCAGCTCCGCACCTGCTTTGTCTCTTTGTTCCGCGGCGGGAAAAGAAGAGAAAGACTCGTCCTTACACAACTGCAGAGCTGGGAACTTGCGTAACGCGGCGCGCCCTCTGCTGGCGGCGGAGGCGAACTGCAACCGGAAGTTATTAAAGTTGAAAGAGCATCGCGGACACTGCAGATTTTTATCACTTTATACAAGAAAATGAAGAAGTTTAGGTGTTAAACTATATAAGTGAGTGTTTATTTGACTGTGGCGATTAATAAAAACTATAATTAATGTAATGCATAAACAAACATTTCAAAATAAAAGCTTTTCTGTTCATAAAAACGTAATAAAGCAGTTTTTTGTTGCAGTGACGAGGAGCAGCGTGGGTCTGTGTGTGAGGAGACGCTCCACAGCTGCTGCTCTGGCTCAGAGCGCAGCTCCAGACACACAAGACAACAGGTCAACACAAACACCAGAAACACATTTGTCGCGTTTTTTGAGTCTTATTTATTTATTTATTTATTTATTTATTTATTTGTTTTTGTCTGATACGTTTTATTTTCTTTCTACAGGAAACCTAAAACTGGGATCCTGATGCTGAACATGGGAGGACCTGAGAGACTCCAGGATGTTCACGACTTCCTGCGGCGGCTCTTCATGGACACAGACCTGATGAAACTTCCTGTGCAGAAGTACGAACACACACACACACACACACACACACACACACACACACACACACACACACACACACACACACACACACACTCATATTAG